TTTTTTTTTTTTTTTTTTTTTTTTTTTGGACAATTGTAATTTTTACCTATACCCTATTTTCCTTTCTCTTACCTCCCACTAGCTACCCATACTTATGATCTGCCCACAAGCCCTACAAGGCAGATCCTGGATCACAACCATTCAGGAACAGCGGCTCGCCGGCTACTACCCCAGACAAGCAAGCGTGCACATCGAGGGAAGCGGTATCTAAGACAACCAACTGTCTTCAGACTCTTCACCCAAATAGAACGCCTGGTAATTATCGCCGTACCTGGACTGAAAGTTGCACCAAATACACATCTATAATGACCGGGCGTTGGATTCGAGTGACGATGGTAAAGTCCACAGCTAGGATACAGGGCTAGGGTCTCAAGGCTACCTTAAATTCACTAACTAAGCTATTATGGGTCTATGTAGAGTTGTATACCTATCTCTGGTTTAGTGTGGGCAGCAGCACCCAAGCTTCTAACACCTGGCGTGGGCTGGAAAAAGGATCACTTGCACAACCAGCCAGGATGAGGACCAAGTGAACAGTCTCGGGTGGTGAACCTGAAGCCTATCCACCAGGAGGCCGCGGGGATCGGAAGGACGACGTTGGGTGTCGAACCCACGAATGCCTGAGTGCCACTTATGTGCTCAACCAACTGAGTTTAGCCCGCTTGGGCACATGCGCGGCCTTTCTTTGTGTTCAATCAAGTGGCAATGCTGGCGCAGGCCTATTGAGACCACACAAGAAGGAAACAAGTAAATGAGGTGCCAATGGAGCCCACCCGTCAATCGATCTATAATGATTCTATACTATATGCCTGCACGAGAACACCAGGCGGGCCTCTCTGCTGCCAGTAAATGATATATCGTGTCTCAGCAGCGTACCTGACAGATGAACAGTGAAGTATACGTACGTATAATACTATGATGATAGGTAATTAGAAATGGAAAAAATTGGCAACCAGAAAAGCAAAAAAGAGGACACAAAAAAAAAGTGGGAGGAAGGGGACGACAAAGAAGAAGGAATGATGAAAGCAAAAGCTCAAAAGAACGAACGGAGGAAAGCCAGAAGGCCCAGAACGGCAGTTGTGTTTTTTTTTTGTTATGTTATGCGCACCTGGCCTTGTTTAACTGATGAATTCATGAATGCAGGTACCGAGATGCCTTATCTGTGTTTGAGGAGATGAGGGAAGCTGGCATGGAGCCGGACGTTGCGACCTACAACCTGTTGATGAATGCGTATGCGCGTGGGGGCGATGAGGAGGAGGCGTTGAAGCTCTTCAAGAAGATGCGTGCGGCCGGGTTTCAGCCGAATGAGGTATCGTATAGGAACCTGATTACGGCGAGAGGTAAAGCCGGTGAGTGGGAAGAGTTGGAGCGCACGGCTGAGGAGGCGCTGGACAACGGTTTCGCATCGAATCGAGGGTTGTTCCATGCGATCATGGAGGCGTACGCCCGCGCAGGGAGGGTGGAGGATGTTGAGCGCTGGGTCAACCAGATGCCGCAGTGGGGGTGTGAGCCCAACGGGGCCACATACACAGCCATGCTCGAGGTGTACAGTCAAGTTGGCAATTGGGAGAAGTGCGAGGACATGGTGGCCGTGATGGCGGAGGCGGGAATGGAGCTCACGACGGGCACTTTCACCGCGTTGGCCGAGGCGTATGCCGTGCAGGGAAAGTTTGCCGATGCAGTTGGGGTGTTCCATCGGGCGAAGGCCGCAGGCTGCGAGCCTAATGTCGCCCTGTACAATAGGCTGATTCGCGCTTATGCGCTGCAAGGGTTTCATATCGAAGCAAGGGGTGAGTTCACCACGGTTTGCGACTCGCTCGCATCCTGTCCGCCAAGCCTTGTGGAGTAATAAATAATGGTTTAATGATTGAATCAATGACTCGACCACTTCATCGATTCAAAGTTCAGGCGTACGGTACTAATTTCAAAATGATTGTTATTTTATTATTTTATCCCATAATAATAATAATATATGATATATCCAATCATCAAAGCAACTAACTGGGGATGGTGAAGCCTCAGGAGGTGTCTGGCCCCCTCCCCCTCCCCCCCTCCCCCCCTCCAAAGGTGGGTCACAAACTTGTAGCCTGGAAAAATGATGATGCCATCCAAAAATATTATGCTCTGCTCTTGCCACTTGTTGGGAGTGTGTGGTGGGCAGTTGTTGTACTCAGAATGGTCAGCTATGTCTTTCATGTCCAGGTCCATTCATCTCATCTGGACAATGGTGCATGTCCTCTCTGTCGTCAAGGACGGACTGACGATTGCGCCTTCTCTTACGGTTTCCGCGAACTTTCCGGTGCTTTCATCATACAATTCCACACTCCTGACTTTCCCTTTGGCTCCCTTGCATTTGTTATTCTTTCCAATTTGCACCATTTTTCTCGATTTATGTGTGTCATCCTTGCTTGCGCAGGGGCCATGCATTTTTTATTATTATTATTATTTTTTTTCTTGCGCAGGGGCCATCTAGGCTACCAGCCGGGCCGCCCGGGTCCTGGGTGGCCAGCCCGTGCAAGGATCAGGTAAGGTTCCAGAAAAAAAAAAAAAAAAACCCATCCAAAACTTCTGAAAAAAAACTATGTTATGCAGAAAAATAAACTGAACAACTTTTGCCTCAGGATCACATCGAAATTCTTCACCAAATTTAAAATAAAAAATAAAATTCAAAAATATTTTATTTATTTTTATTTTGTAAATTTTTTTTGGCCCGGCCGGGCAAGTGACCCCGGGCCACTCTGGTAGCCTAGGGGGCCATCCTTTTTTTTTTTTTTTTTTTTTTTTTTTTCCCTTGTGCAGGGGCCATGCTAATCTTCTGTGTATCGTTCCAATTTTAACGGATGTCCCGAAGGACAATCTTCATTCTCTGTATCGTTCCAATTTTAACGGATGTCCCGAAGGACTCCTTTGTTGTCCTTTTCTTTGTCTTCTTTCCAACTTTTCTCTCTGTTTATCCCCCCTCCCTTTACTCTGCCTCTTTTTTCGCTCACAGCGTACAAGTTGGCCGTTATGGCACACGGCGATCGTGGGGGCAGCTTGCATGCAACTTCGTCAATGCGGCGAGCGTTGTACGGGGGAGGCACAGTGAAGGGGGAGCGAAAAGGAGAAATAACCGACGAGGCAACAGTAAGGAACGAAAAGAACAAAAAGGACGATGGGCATCTGAAGAGGCAAATGGACGGTTTCAATGTGCGCTTCATGTTAGTCACGTGCAATTTTTATCGTTGGTTTCGCAAAGTGCGTTCCTGTTTAGCTGATCAGTGATCAATAAATATGTGACAAATTGACAATACATATATTGTCAAACAGAACGACCCCCAGTAAACCGTAGGCAGAGAGGGAGAAGGGAAAAAAAAAAAAAAAAAAAAAGGATATTAAACAAATGAGGGGCTGTGACAAACTGTTCTGTCAGAGTGCCATCGACTCATCAGGAGGGTATACACATTGCCAATTTTTTATTTTTTTTTCTTAAACCCCCCTGCGACCACGCTAGGGGGAGTGATATGAGCATCCCCTCGTCAATCTAGGTGCTTGATGTCTATAGTAGTATAGTTTGTTGTTGTTCTTCGGCCTGATGTTTTTTTTTTTTTTTTTTCCTGATTGTTTTTACTGCAGGGGTTATGGAGCACATGAAACAAGTGGGGTTTTGGCCGAATGTCGAAAGCTATCGCTGGATGATGGAAGCGCATTTGAAGGCAAAGCGGTATGCTGACGTGGATGCAGTTTTCAACGAGATGAAGGACGTGGGTTGTAGACCTGACGAGACCACTCGACAGGTAACTGAGTCGCTTTCCTTTTTTCTCCGTCGATCTCTGTCAGCTGTCATCCAGTTACCCACTGCTCATCTTTTTCGGGTTCGACACCCAGTTGACTTTGTGTTATGATGTTGCACTGCACACCTGGTGTTGTGCTTCCACACCCTTTTTCCATTTGGGGGGAGGGTGGGGCGGACGGGATGGAGAGCTACGAATCCCCCTGACCGGTGACTGCGCCAGCCGTCCGGGACTGCGGTCACCGGCGATGGCCGGGGCGCCCCGGTGGTGACCGGGCCGGTCACGGACTTCGCCCGGCTGTGGTCGCCAGGGGCGGTGTGGGGGGTCTTCGGCGGGTCGGGGTCGCGGTACCCGCTGCGCAGCGCCGGCGACAACCCCGCCATGCCAAAAAAACAAACAAACAAATAATTTCTGGAGGGGGTCAGGCTTGGGGGTTTTCGAGGGGTGAAAAAATAAATAAAAAATCTGGGCGCCCCTGCGGGAATGAGCACAAGTTGCCCAGTCAGCATCCATATAGCCTCTCTGTTAGAGGTGACGCATTTGCTCTCGAGTCTGGACTCGTCTGGACTCGTCTGGATGGTCTGGATGGTCTGGATGGTCTGGATGGATTCCATGCCACCGCCGTTTGCACAAACCGGCATGGTGGTCCTTGTTTGTGCAAAGGGCGGGGTAACACTGGGTGATCACACTACCGGGCAAGCAGGTGGAATTGTAGTGAGCGCGTGCCGACTACTCACATGTTATCAAAACCATCAAATATATATTTTTGGGGACTCTGTGGATTGGGGAACTCCCCCTCATGCGCTATGTGATGGCAGCGGCTGCTCCATTACGACCCTTGGTGCCATACTGTGTAGGACCCTGGATGAAGAGTATGGATGGTGCTGATGGTGGTGGTGAGAGAGGGATTGGACAGCGGGCTATGGTGATATTGTTACCCTGGGTTCTAGTCTCGGGGCCCAGGAGTGGGGGGTTGGAGCAGAAGGGGAGGGAGGGGGGGTGGAGGGTTTTTTTTTCAACCCCTATGGAGTCTATGGAGCATGGTGGATTTGATCCCAGAGCTGGTGGGATTGGGAATTGAAAGGGGTTTGGAAAGGGGGTGTAGATGGAAGAGCAGTAGGTAGGTCTTGGGAGGTGTTGATTGGAGGAGGGGGTTTTGCTGAAATTACCACTACCTCCTGAAATTTCGGGCCAACCCCTGCGGGCGAGGGAGAAAAGAACTCTAGACTCTGAGGCATCAGATTTGTCGAGTTCCGGACAGACTAACTGAAAAAGGGCAGTCCCCCTTGCTTATCCTGAGGGGTAGTGAAAGTACTAAGTAGTGAAAGTAGTGGTGCTTTGAAGTTTAAACCACCAGTCAGTCCTATACGAAATCTGAAATGTTAATAATTATTAATAATTATTTATAATTATTATTAATTAATGATTACCCTTGTGAACTGTGTTACCAATCGGGCCACCCGGGTCACCTCCGTCACCTGGGCAGCCCGGGTGGGCAAGGGCCAGGGAAGGTCCCTGTATTTTTTTTTGTTGTAAATCGAGAAAATTCTGGAAACAAAAACGTTATGTAGAAAAACAAACTGAACAACCTTTGCCTCAGGGGTCGGATCGCAGTTCTTTGCCAAACTAAACAGTAAAAAAAAATAAAAATAAAATTTAAGGGCCAGCGGCCTAGGCTCAGTTGGTTGAGCACAGAGGGGCCAGCGCCTTAGCTCAGTTGGTTGAGCACATAAGTGGCATTCAGGAGGCCGTGGGTCCGATTCCTCGCACCATCCATTCTACTCCCCACGGCCCCTGTGGCGCACTTTGGGCTCCCCACGGTCCCGTGCCACTCTGGTAACATAGCTTGCGAACCATTTGCCGGAACTAGTTGGTACTACTTATCCTAAATTCCAGGAGACTGAGAAATGGCCCGCTGAGCTGGGTGCTTCCACATGACTGATGCGTACGGGAGATCAAGCTGACACACCCACCTGCTGGTGGCGGTGGTATACGCATCTGAAAAAATCATGAACCGGGCCTTTCTTCGTGACCAGGTTCATGCTTTCTAGGCACTAAGATAGTGTGGGGCCTGGGGCTTGACCCTCTGTCAGCATCCTAATGATTGCGTTGCGCTTGTGAGCCTTGCGAACGCGAGGACTCTGTCGGGATGTAGTGGGTGTATAGCAGTGCTGCAGTATGCCCTTTGTGCCTTGGCGTCAGGAGGGCAGAGCACTCTGCACAAGCCGCTGCAAGGAGATCAACCTGCACCATGTGCAGTGGCTGCAGCGGCGTGTCCCAGATGTGTCGTGATGGTTCCAGCCTCCTCCTTCCTCCTCCTACCTACTGTGCTCCTCCATAGTCAGGCTTGAGGTCCATCACCCTCACCTCCATAGCCATGGCTTATCTCTACCACCTCCCACTACTCCTCCATAGCCATGGAGGTCTTCACCGCGTCACCCTCGGACTCCACCGTCTCCTCCCTCCTCCTACCTACTGTGCTCCTCCACAGTTAGGCTCGAGGTCCATCACCCTCACCTCCATAGCCCTGGCTTATCTCTACCACCTCCCACTACTGCTCCCCCTGGCTTATCTCTACGACCTTCCACTACTCCTCCATAGCCATGGAGGTCTTCACTGTCACCCTCGGACTCCACCGTCTCCTCCGAGTGCTCCAGCAGCTTCCCCCTCTGGGCGAGCAGCACAGTCCTCACTTGAAGAATGAACCGAAGGGAGAGCACTACTACTCTTGGCATCCGAATGATGATGATCTACTCTTTTCGTCCCCGCGACTCCTGGGCAAATTTCACGGTAGCTCGGCCTCCCTTTGCGCCCTGGAACTGCTGGAGAAATCCCTACCTTTTGGCGGGAACATTATTGCAGCCTGCAACTACACCTCAGGGCGTCTGAATTATACCCTAGAACCCGTCTGTGTACGGCCGCTGGACCCTTGTAGCATTTTGGAAGTTACTGGATTTGCCCCTGACCGCTACTTTTGGAAGTTACTGATTTGCCCCTGAGGCGACTGGGCCCTCTTGGACCTAGTACCCGAGTCGCGGAAAAAGGCCTACCGGGTGGGTACCTATCAAATTCTGGTGAGTTCTTCTGGTGCCAAATTTTGGCTCTGTCCCTGTGCGCGCATTTGCATTCTACCCCAGCTTCAGCAAGTTCAGATACAGAAATAAAGCACCGAAAAAAACAAAGTTAGCGAGCCTCTGGAGGCAAGGACACAGACTCTGCAACTCGGGCAAGCACATGGCTCATGGCACATTTCTGGTTGATCACACACAATGGATGCACATTTCTGGTTGATCACACACCCAATAGATGGATGTTTTGTCTGTTGTTATTGGATGTTTGTTGGTGGTTTTTTTTTTTTTTTTGTGTGTGTGTGTGTGTGTTTTTGTTTTGTTTTGTGTGTGTGTGTTGTTTATTACACATTGGCCTTATTACACATTGATCTGCTTCAGAGTATGGTATAGGCTGCCTCTTTGATGAAGGAATGTCTGTGCTGTGGTTGGCCACAGTTTTTTTGTTTCGGGGTGGGAATGCATGTTTGGGAGTTTTGGCCACGGTATCTTCACGAGGATGGACAGATGTTTTGTTGGTGGTTTTGTCTTATTAAGTATTATTATTACACATGGCCTTATTTGTTGCCCAGCTTTAGAGCGTGGGCTGTCTTTTTGATGAAGGAATGTCTGTGGGTGGGCCCCTTTTTTTTTTTTTTTTTTTTTGCGGGGGGGTGGGAATGTATGTTTGGAGTTTTGGCCACGGTATCTTCGCGAGGAGCCCCTCCTTGATAGGGGGCTCAGCGGAGATTGAGTCTCGAGTGTATCCTTCTTCTGTATACTTTTCCGTGCGCTTCGTGCCTAACCCAAGATCAGAGTTACTAATGTATGTTTGTATGTATGTATGTCTACATGCATGACTGTATGACTGTATATATGTATGTGCATATGTGTTTATGTGCATGTATGTATGTATGTATGTATGTATGTATGTATGTATGTATGTATGTATGGGTGCATGTATGTGTGGGTGCATGTATGGATGGATGGATGGGGTGGGTGGGTGGGTGGGTGGGTGGGTGTGCACTTTTGCGGCTTGTGTTGTTGGATCGTATTCTCTTTTGTGTCCTTTCTTTTTCAGATACTGCAAAGTGCTCATCGGAACCTGGCGCTTGTCATAGCAAGAGAAAGGGGGGATGCTGGAGACGGCAGGTATCAGCAAACGACAGGTCTTAGAGATGGGGATGGAAGACCCTCGATCCAGAAGGACAGAGATAGAGAGAGAGACGACACACGGTCCCGAGGAGGAAGGAAGGTTGACGGCTGGTATGGGGCCGCAAAGCACAGAGAATCTGGAGAGCGAAGGTACAGTGTACCCCGGATGACTGAACATCATACAATTCACTCTGGGAGAAGGTGATGTGATGCGTTCGAAATTTGAAATTTGCGACGCGTGTAATTGTAGTTGCTGGGTAGATGGCATGGAAGAAAACGCGGATAAAATTTTGGGTTTTTTTTGGGG